GAAAAGGGACCTACAGGATCTATAAGGTTGGACCAGCCATGAGCTACAGCTGCTGGTTTTTCAAGTGTTCATTTAAATGAAATTACTAAAACCACAGAAACCAGCAGCAGATGAACACAGCAGTCTCTGTCAGCTCCAGCAGGCCAAGCTATGCCCTGCTTGGACAGTAAAATCAGCTTTTGAAAGATTACAATCCCTTGGAAAAATATCTCTGAGTAAAGTTCAGAACAACTTTTCTGGAAATCAGCCAGCAGAATGCCTGTTCAGGAGCTCTGTTCCTCAATCGGTATTTGGAAAGCTTTTTAAGCTTTTTTTTTTTTTAAAGTAGAAAGATGAATAATGTGACATGTAACTCATTTTAGCATTCACAGTCAAAGTAACAATCTGCAATTAAAATAAAAAATTGCTCTAATTTTTTGGAGTGTGTGGTAAAGATTTTAACACAAATCACAAAATACAATGGGAAAATGGGAATGTGGCATACCACACAAGGAATAAAAAAATCAATTACTCATTTCACTTCCTAGTTTGAGAATGCTTAAAATTGTTTAAACATTTCAAGTGCTGAAAATTGAAAAGGGTGCGGTGACAGACTCATTACAGATGCAGAAAATTGTGAAACTTTTACTCATCCTCAGGGGCATCTTACTCCCAAAACAGCCTCTGAAGAGTCAGCAGGCTCTGGATACAGTGTACTACTACACAACAGATTGACCTGTTACTCACCTGCTGGGTGTAGCATTCAGGTAACTACATATTCTTAAAGCGATTATTTAAAAGTGCTGATCATCTGTTAAATAACTCAAACAAATCGGGCTGTGGCTACCTTCTTGGTGGTGTACTTAGCAACTCTGTAAATCCCAGAATCCTGCAAGTTACTTTACCTCTCACTTCATAAATCTGTGACTCTCCTCACTGTTACCTCACTGAAGATGAGTCAGCCAGGAATATATAGGATATAAAATGTTTTGGTGATGGAGGTTTTTGGGGTGGGGCCAGCCAGGGCAAAACTCTCTACTTCCTCTTCTCCCCATCTCCTTGTGCTGGCAAGTAACAAGTCATGGTCAAAAATGAAGAAGAGTGAAAATGAATGGCCAAGCCAATGTGAAAAAGTAAAATAATGCACTGGAAACACTGATAAAAGTTGCTATCCCACATGCAGGCATTTCAGCAAGTGCAGCAGAGGACACAAGTTGAGGCTCCTGCACATCGTCTGAGCCTCTGGGAAACAGAAATACTTCAGTCCTTGACAAAAACCTTTACTTCTCTTGATCTGGTAACAGCTCCCAGAAGCAAGCACAGATATGAAAGCTTATCTATCAGAGGACAACTTGGAAACAAATACAAATAAAGCTTAAATGAAGGCAAATAGCCTGCCAAGCTGCAGAGAACACAACGGTTCCTTAATTTCACATTTGGAGAAAAAACAATACTATGTGGACATTCTCCAACATATTTTTAATGTTATTAACAGAAATAGCACCCCAGGCTGTGCTCAAACTGAAAATGTGTGAAACTGTTTGCAATGTGAAGTGAAAGGGGGATCAAAAATACCATCTTATTAAATGGCATTTATCTGGTGCTAAGTGAATTATTTATTCAGTTGAGAAGTTCACAAAATGACAGGGCGGTAAATGCAAGCAAGGTCACTACTTCATGCCAGTATCAAAGCTGATCCTTAACAGAATTTAAGCACCTGCCTTTTCTTTTATCTCAGCACAAAATGAGATTTCTTTTTTTTTTTTTTACACTTCAAAAGCCATGTAACACAACAGAATATATGCCAAGCATGCAAAAACAGAGTATGCCAGCATCTTTCAGCAATCAGCTTTCCCTTGTCATCCATTATGTCAGATTTATCTATTTTTGCTTAATTCTTGCTCCAGCAATATGCATCCTTCCTCTCTCCAGACTATCAGGCTGGTTGGGCTGGAATTCAATACAGCTTCTTAAAATAGTTGAGAAATATTGAAAATATTTGAAGTGATGCCTGTGAATTACAGCCAATTAATCAACTCCTCTTCCAGCTCCTGCTCGACCTGTGCTCCCCCAGACAAGGGCAATTCTCATTTCTTCACCTCAGAAATTCTACCCAGTGTAAATATCATTTGAAAATACACAGCCTCTCTTTTATGGAAGCATTTCTCCATGAAAGCTTAGATTCTGTGTTAACTGCAAACCTTACCCTCTGACTCTTACTCACTTTTGATCCAAACCTTCCTCTGCTGAAAATTAATAGTGAGTGCATTTGCTTTCAGGTTTGCTTTCTGTTATCACTGCTTTTCCTCTCCAAGTGTCCAGACCCTCTGGACTGGCTTTACAGGACACCAGACCCACCTAAAAGCTCTTCCTGAATCCTGCACTCTGCTGCTGGCTGCAAAACTCTGCTCTCTCGACTCTAACACCTGTAAGACACTTGAACATCATCCTTCCTCACTGCTTTATGCACCCACTTAAACTAACAGACTCTAACAAATTCAAATTCTTATAAAGCCCTAATTAGAAATAAACAAGCTGAAAGGAAAATGCAACTCTCGTCACTCTGTTCCCTCACTGCCTATGGAGCACAGAATTTTCTCAGCCGGCTGCTGAATCAGACAAAGTTTCCACAGTGCACACACACACAAAATCACAAAGCCCCAACACGTCCAGGAGGATTTATTCCATCACAAAGTCACTACCGTTGCTCCAGCACAAATGACATCACTTAGGAACTCAACCTCATCTCCTGAGAGCTCCCAGCTCCCTTCTCTCCTGCAGTGAGCAGAGCAACAAAGAACCGGGCTTGTGCAATAAAGAAGAAAAAAGTATTGCTGCAAAAAGTTTCCCAGAAAAACTTATATTTTCTTGAGAATGCGACTAGAGAGAAATTAAGGACTGTAGTAAGAAGTGAGTAGAACAAATTCCGGTTGAAGTAATCAACCTGCATCTGTGATTTATCCTAAACTTGTACCTAGTGCTACCAAGGGAGGGTGAGACGCAGATGAGCCCTCGCAGGTGCTGGTCGGGGACGTTCACACGCTGCAGAACCAAAATCATCTCAGTACTTTGCTGCACGAGTGGAATGAGAGCTGGAGTCCAGCTCTGCAGTTTTCTTCTTCTTCTTCTTCTTCAGACACTTGAAAATTGGTTGGTAGGGAATAAAAACGACCGATGATTTATCGACGTTACCTGTTCCCTGGCCATGGGAAAGATGGGCTTTGAGGTCCCTTCCAGCCCACACCAGCCTGCGAATCCCTTGCAAAAAGACACTTTTCTTGGGAAAGAATCACACAAAGGATGTGCTCGCACTACGACCGCAGTCCCCCCTTCCCCCTGACGGCACTTCTGTCGCGATGGCTGACGCACTATCGCGATCGCGGGCCGTGTGCGCGGCACCCAGGGACAGGTAACGAGGGCGCCGGGGCTACCGGGGGTCCTGGGAGCTCCGCGCTGAGCGGGAGAGACCCCGGGGAGGCGGGGTGGGAGCGAGTGTCGCGACAGGCGGCGGGTGTCGCGACAGGGGGGGTGGGTCGCCACACCGGTGATGCCTCAGCGGGCGGGGGGAGGGGACACCCGGGAAGGACAATGGGGGGGAGGGGGGGGCTATGAACCGCGGCGGTCCCGCCGCGCTGTGAGGGGGAGTAGGATGAGGAGGAGGTGGTGACGGTGGGGCCGCGCCCTCGCTCCTGCCGTGCGCCGCACTTACTCTCGGTGCCCCTGCCCGGGCCTCATGGCGCCGCCGCCGCTGTGCCCGCCCGGCCCCGCCGCCACCGCCGCCGCCGCCGCCGCCCGCCCCGGCCGTGCTGGCTGCGCAGCCGCCCCCGCGCACGCGCGGCCCGCGCGCCGCCCGCCCCGCCCCGCGCACGCGCGGCCCCGCGGCCACGGGAGCGAGGGAGGGAACGGGGGGAAATGGGGGGGGCAGCGCCGCGCTGCCCCCTGCCGGTAACGGGGGGCAGTGCACAGAACAGCGGGGATGGGGACACGGGAGGGACACGGCAGGTACACACTGCGGGAGACATTGGGGGGAATTTGAGGGGCATTTGGGGCGGGGGTGAGGGAGGGACACGGCAGGTACACACTGCGGGAGACATTGGGGGGAATTTGAGGGGTATTTGGGGCGGGTGTGAGGGACACGGCAGGTACACACTGAGGGAGAGATTGGGGGGAATTTGAGGGGCATTTGGGGCGGG